GATTTCACATTCTTCTATCTACGTGATGCACCAAGATCCTTGCTCTCACATACTCTCCTCCCAAACAAATACAGCATCACTAAAATAGATTATACTCAACCCCAAATTCCTTGCATTTTCTCAACAGAAAGAGAAAACAATAATAACTCGCTTCTAACAAGGGAAACCAAGTGGAGAACTCTGAAAATGAAAATTCTACGTGCTTTATTCAATTCACACTTCCTATGCGCTTTATTGCCGATATTACATGACTACATCATATCGAAAATATGGTGCTGCTTAAAATCCAACATGAAAGATTTAGGAAAATATAAAGCTTAAGTACTTTGACCCATGTATGACATGCCAACTCAAATTTCAAACTATTACTTAATTGGAATGTGTGGTTTATTTCAAGGCTGAAAACCATATTAATGAACAAATATGACAACAAACAATAACATATTAGTTTTTGAAGACAAAATACACTTTCCAAGGTAACTACATCTGTTTAAAGTTCCAATCATTACTAATGATCCAATTTCATGAACATTAAAAGTGTCTCCACAGTAATCGTTGAACATTGAATTATACTTCCAATATCAAAGATGACTAATATAAAATCGTTAGCATCTCGGTGACACAGTTTGTTGAACATCAAAAAAGTCTTTCAACTTGAGATTAATCTCATCCTAAAAGTGTTCCTATCACTAATGACCTTCTAAGTTGTACAACACATAATATAACATAGATTCAGTCCTGCTACAGGAATCAGGAATCTAGGCCTCCATACAACTGACTTTGGGAGTTATGATAACAAGGGGGTTGCTCTCCTTAGATTGTTTCTTAAATCCCCTCTAGAAGAATTGTGGTTATCAATCTGATCACGAGTTCTCCTAAATAATTTTTATGCAATTTTGAAATCAGATCATATATTACATTAAGAAAAAAATTAGTTAGCGCTGACCTCATCAGAACTTAGAGCACCATCTGTCTCAGAAACATTTCTATTGCCTTTCGACTTGGTTTCCGCATCATGTTTCGATTCAGGTACCCGTGGTAATGCTACATCATCCACAGAACCTTTGCTTTGATCTGGTGAAATAGTTACTGCATAGTCATTTGCTGTAAACATGAAACAATTTTGATAAGCCCAAGCATTTGTATGGAAGGGTCCCATGTATTTATGTGGATACTAAAATTATAGGCAAATTACCTTCTGCTTTGTTGCGATCTGTCAAAGTAAACAGACCACTACGACTCTCACCCTCAGCTTCAGTATTTGAACTCACTTCTTGACTGATGATATTTTCCTCACTTTTCTCACATACAGGATCACTATATACAACAGAGCCAGCACTGTCCCCCTGCGGTGTATCATGTTTGCTATTAATCAAATCATTTTCCCTGTCTGTTGATTTCCTAGATGCCGAACTAATTTTGCTATGATCTGCATCTCCTTTCTCTAGCAACGTGCCTTCCATTTCTCCATCTTGCTTGATATCATTTGGAACACTGTTCAACTCTTTACCATTATGTTCTTTGATCGCTTTTACATTTGTCTCCTCCCCCGTTTCTTCATATTTTCCCTTTGTGTCTTGGACCACGTCCTCTTCTTCCCTAATTGCAACATTCTTGTCATTTTTATCCACAGACATATCCTCTCGTTTCCTACTTTCGACATTCTTCTCATCCTCCACATAATCAACAGGTGGAACTTTTAAACAGTGTTCACTGTTTTTCGCATCCTCTCTAGCACAACCCACATCCCCAACAAATTCGAGGGGTTCCATATTTTCCCCTTCAAATTTCCTATCCTCTTCAACTCCTATTGGCTTTTCACCCTTGCATTCTAAAGGGGGTTCTTCGTCTCTTTCTTTATCCAGTTCTTTAATTTCAATATCATCCATTCTCTCCAGCGACTCATTTTCCTTGTAGTCTTGTTCTTCTAAAATGTCATCTCTGCTAAGTACTTTCCCTTGATCATCCTTAATGACTTCTCTAACCTTAGTATCATCATTACCATTTTCCTTGCTTTTATCTTCTACCAATTCAATTCTCACTTCAATTCCGTCCTTCATGTCACGCTCTCGTACCTTTTCCTCCATTGCAACTACGTTCCCCTTAACAAGGGATTCGTTTTGGACTTCTACTTGTTCCCTTTCCTCTTCATCCATTGCAACTACGTCCGCCTGAACCAGGGATACACTTTCAACTTCTTCTTCTACCCGTTCCTCCTCTTTTTCCCTTTCCCCTTCCTCCATTGCAACTAAATACCCCTTGACCAGCAATGAATTTCCGAATTCATCTTCTTCTTGTTCCCTGTCCTCTTCCTCCAACGCAACTACATCAAAATCCCCCTTATCAATAGAAGCGTTTTCACCTTCTTCTTCTTCCTCTTCTTGTTCCTCCTGTAATATCAAAGATTTTGTATTCTCCCATGTAATAGATGGCACAGTTTCCGGCAGCAATTTGCTCATGAGTTGTTCAGTGCAGGCATAACTGGCATAGATAAATCCAAAAGGGACCGAAAAGGCGAGCCCAATTGCAGAAATAACCACAAGAGGAGGAAGAACCAGCGGAGCAGATGATATTAAAATACCAGTAACCACAACCTTCTTTCCCAAGCTCAGACTTTTGTCCAAGATCCAACCCACCCCACTTTTCTCAATCTTCTCTTCTTCAAAAGAAGACGACCCATTTTCATCTTCGATTTCCCACTCTTCGCTTGGCTCTTCCATCCTACCCTGTTTAAAAATATACGAAACAAGAAAAACCGAAGAATTTTGAACCCAAATTAACCAGTTTACTGTAAGAAACCAACCCAAAAATCAAGAACACGGAGAAAAATATAAAATACCCATTTGCCTTGTCACATACCTGATGATGGATTATGGATTTGGCAGAACAGTTACATGAATTTCATGACTTTCATAACCAAAGAAAATTGAAGTCTATAATCTTGATGATGTAATTTGAGAGTAACGGTGAATGGTTTTACCCAGGATTTTGAGTCGCTGAATAAAAGAAATGTCTGGGAAGGTGAGCCGGGGACACGCGTTGGGAAAAGAAATGGTGGATTTGCATGGAGCACGCCAAGTGCATGCAGACCTCCCAACTTGCTGACATCTGTTGGTACACCGCATCGAGATTGAATTTTAAGGATTAAACCGATTGCACAAAGTGGCAGGCTATGTTCGGGTGACCTTGTGGTCCCACCCCCGTCTCCACTGGATCTGTTCGGGATTATCCTTTAAAAAAAAACACACACACACTTTCTCTCCCCTCCTCAGTCATTGCATTACGTGTTAAGAAAATTTATTTAAATGTAACATCATACAATTGAACATATCAATTGTGATCATTTAACGCACCACTCGTTTTAAATAGCATTATTTTAAATAAATACGAAAATTTCTTTATTATAGTGTTCTGAAAAAGGGGATGCGTGGAGGTTAAGCTTTGATTGATGCGTGCCTAGGCGCAGTTTAGACATAAAAAGGTGTAACAAGACGTTTTCTTGTTTTAATATTATTTTAACTTTTTAATCAATTTAAAAATCATTTAATAATATATACAAATTATACAATTTTAAGAATTTAACAAAATAAATATATTTTCAAACAATAAATAAGATATATTATAATAGTGTTAACTGAAATATTTGGAAAGTTTTTAATTTTTATTAATTAGTAAAAGATATGAAAATGATTAAATCAAAGAGATTCTTATCCCACATTGAAAATTACGACAAAATCTTTAGAGACAACCTCTACAATTAGTGAACCAATAAGTGTGTAAACAACTTATTAGACCTTTTAATCTATTGGTCTAAAGGTTGAAAATTTTATAGTTATTTTTGGGCCTTGCAATCCAATTGACCTAAGAGTTTAAAACATTATGTATTTTTAAAAAAATAAAAATATAATAATAATAATAATAATAATAATAATAATAATAATAATAATGTGCTCCAAAGTGCGCCTATGCGAGCCTAAGTGCACCTTAAAGCATTCACAAATAGGTCCTAGGGGTTGTGTTTTTATCGTCAAAGTGTGCCATTTAAAACACTGCTTTATTACCTGTTACAAACCATGATATTTAGATTGTTTAATGAGTAAATTCAATTCATAATAACTATATTTTCCCTCTAATTAAATCAAGTAATTGTACTTTAATTTTGTTCAATTTGATAATTACAATCTAATATGATTTCAATCGAGCAAACATACTTTTAATTTGATTTATCAGGCACTACACATTATTAAATTTTAATTAAAGTAACTTTGTCCAATTTTACTAAGCTCCTGTTTGGTAGGGAGTAAAATTCAGATTTTAATCTAAATCAAAGTCAACAATAAATTTTAACCACATATTTTATAGAACACATAGCTTTTCAGCCATGCAACATCAACTTCTATCAAAATTTACTAAAACTCTTATTTTAATTTCCACCAAACAAGGACTAAGATAATCGATGATGTGTCATATGTGATCGTTGTTGACTTAAAATAAGTATAACTTCATTAAAATAAATGACAATATCATTTATTGATTGTTATATCACCGATTTTCGTTAGTCTAAATGATGGAATTCGACATAATTACCTAATTGAAATCAAACTAAAACGTAGTTACCCAATTAAATAACATTGAAGTACAATTAACTTATTAAAACAAAATGAAAGTATAGTTCCAAACTTACCCGTTGAGGAGGTATAATAGCATTGAACGGCGATGTAAGTCATATGCATTGATAAGGTGTAAGTAATTATGTAGTACATCGACATGCATTTCTGCATAATAATAATAATAATAAAACTCATACATTTTGTTATACATTGTATGCCTCAAAACTTTGTAAATAAAATCTCTTACGACACATTTAAGAAGTTTGAAAAGTTTATAGGATGAAAATTAAAATTTTAAAACTTTCAAGGACTGAAGTAAACATAGTAAGTATCCCTTTAGCCTAGATAAATTATTTAGGAGGCAAATAGTATTGAGTGGAAGTTACTATTTGCAACAGGTCAATTTTTGGGCCAATTTGCTCTGAGAGGCTTAGGTGAAAATAATGAAAGGTATGCTTCTAAAAATGAACATTTTGAACTTATCGTAACATCTCGAATTTACGAGTGTCGATGAATATAAGGCCAACAATGTTAAATTTCCCTGCTGATTTTGGTACATATAAACAACCCTGCTACATGAACAAGGTCAATGATAGATTTTTTTACAAGGAGAATATAAGTGTCATTATTTCATTGGACAGTTAGAAAAAAATAAAGACTCATAAAAGTGTCGCGTCAACGCAGTATCTGTCAAAACCCTTGTCAGTTTATCCTGTGCAAACAACATTATTAATATATAAAAGTCAAATTAGAGTTTCAGTC